GCAAAAGACTGGGGAATTCTTTCTTTTTGACAGGCCCTGCAGTGTCCAGGAAGGATAATCTGATATGTGTGTATGTGTGTTTTTTTTCCCCATCTCATCTCAAACAGGACAAATACCTCCATACAAACTGCTTGGCAGCCCTAGCCAACATGTCCGCCCAGTTCCGCTCGCTTCACCAGTACGCCGCGCAGAGAATCATCAGGTAAATGCCAGTCTTGTACGGAATAATCCCATGACGTTTTGTTTTCAGTTCTGCCGGAGCGAACCTCCAGTCCCTAAATTTAAATATTGACCCTGAACTTCTGTTCAGCTTCACCGAGTCTAGAGTAAATGTTTATGGATGGTATGGATGGCAAACATTAATATTGCTGGCCCTGAGAAAAAAGCAACTAATGGGTAACGTGTCGGAAAAAGCCCTGCTTAATCAGTATTGAATAAATGAATATATTATTGAGTTAAGGGTGATTTGTGACAGATGCCTGTGAAACGAGGGTTCTACAAGAGCAGTTATTTGTGATTTGTGTGAAGTATTTTATGTGGACTGATGAAGCTGCTTGATGTCCCTTCTCAATATTTAAAAATTCAGTGTATTTGAGGGATTTTCTGCAAGTGATTTGCCGGCCAAGGAAATGTCTCCCTGTAAATCGGCTTCAGGAAGACAAGGCAGTGTCCACAATTATTCTGTGCACATTCAGTTCCTCACTAGACCTGCGTGGTGCAACTGTTGCCGTGTGTCAAAACGGGGGTGTGCGTGTGGCTCAGGACTGAGAATTTAATACAACTTGCCTTCTTCACATGGAACCCCAACATTCAGAGTTCCTTAGTCCACTGCTTGAGTATCACTGCATCCTTATTCCAGGTCTTTGGTTCTTAACCTTTTTGAACGAATCGCCCCCTTGAGCCAATGAGGAAGTTGTCATCGCCCCCCTCCCCCAACATAACCTCTCAATCACAACATAGGAAATAATTCTTCCATTTATGCAAACACTTGTTTTGTTTTCTTTAAAATTGTCATCAGGACATATCGATACAAATAATTTATTTCCAATCTTTTTCCCATATCTCCCATATTCTGGCTAATGGTGTGCCACTGTATGGGCAGAGGCTGTTGCGCAACTCACATGAAGATAAGCGATGCGTATTCACATATGTACAGCGTTCTGTACTGAAGCTAGCCAGAGGAACATTTGAAAATACAATTCAATCCACTAATAGCGAGCGATCTGTTGTTTTTGTATGACAGATATACAGCGATTCACTGTACGAAAAAGTCTCAAAAGTGTCCCCAAAAATTCTCGCTCCATCGCCCCCATATCGTCCCCTTTTCATTCCTTCACCCCCACGTCGCCCCTTTTCATTCCATCGCCCCCCTGAAAAATGAAATCGCCCCCTGGGGGGCAATATCGCCCAGGTTAAGAACCACTGCTCTAGGTCACAGGGGTAGGTAACCTCGGCTCTTTTATGATTCGTGGACTTCAGCTCCCAGAATTCCTGAGTCAGCAGAGCTGACTCAGGAATTCTGGGAGCTGAAGTCCACGAGTCATAAAAGAGCCGAGGTTGCCTACCCCTGCTCTAGGAAATCTAACTTACACAATTAAAACGAAGCTAGATAATATATCTTATCCTATCCACCATGCCCCCCCCCTGTGAAGTCTGACCCCACCCCTGTCCTTCCGCAAGGGCTTGAAGACCCGGCTCTGCCCGTTGGCCTGGGGACTTTCCAGCACAGGAAATCGGGAGTCCAGGCAGTTCAGATGAATATATAGGTTTATTATATGCGAACGTTTTCTACAAGAATCTGAACTACTAACGGTCAAAGCGACTTGGCAATAGATAGTGGTGGGATTCAGCCGGTTCGCACCAGTTCGGCAGAACCGATACCTAAGCCACCCCTGCCGCCTCCCTCTGCCAACCCTGTGTTGCCGCTACCGTACTTCCTTGCGCACACTTTCTTGTCGCCCTGCATCAGCCACGTCTCCCTTCTCCATTCTGGAAATGGCAGCCCCGTTTCCAGCAGAAGGGAGAAAAGGAAAGACGCATTGTCTGGAAGGATGCTAATGGGTCCCTGTAGGAAATGACCAGGCTGGACCGGAGGGAGGGGTCAAGTGCATCATCAGCCTTGAGTCCCTTTGTACCCACAAGTGATCAAAGTCCAGTCCACCCTGAATCCCATTGACTCTTATGTTCTGCCAGTGGTGGGATTCAAATAATTTAACAACCGGTTCTCTCTGAAATCACAGAACCCTTTAAGAGGTGCGTAAAAACCCGCCCTAGGGAAGGGCGGGCGGCGAGCTGCCCCATGCACCCCATACCTGTTTACTTCAGGGCCCCCATACCCAGGCCACTCCCCACTCGGTGATCTCCCCACGCCGGTTCAATGACCCAGCTGCCCACCCGCCTCTTCCCTTTCACTCCCCTCCCGAGCCGGACTGGGTCTCCACCATTCCAGAGCCAAAGGGGAGTGACGGCAACAGCCGCGTCTGCTGCTGGAGGGGCTTTCTTCGGTCCCCACCACCCCTGCCGCCCTTCCCCCTTCCATATCTTTGAGCACTTGACTCCCTTTTCTTCTCACCTTTTGTCTTCTTTGCTAAGTCTTGCCAGTTACAGAAGCCGTTCAGGCCATTATTTCCCTACAGCACCTGTGACGCCTGGACTAAACACCTCCTTGCAGCTGAATTCTGCTCCTTGCTTTAAACCAGGGTTCTCCAAACTCCAGATGCTGGCTGGGACATTCTAGGAGTTGAAGCGCCTTTAAGTTTTACGGTTGTCATGTCAGAGCATGCACAGTCTTATTGCGCTGAGGTAATCCAGGAGTAAATACAGTAAACAGTGGTTTGTAATTAAATGGTGGTTTATATTACACTATATCTACAAATATACACTAGAAATAAAATACATACATGTGGTGAAACAGCAAACTCCAATATACAGCAATTGCAGCAGTCAAATGGACCAGAGAGAAAAACTCCAGCAAAAAACTTCCCTTTTATACTCAGACTCTTAAAGGGATACAGTCCCTGCTTTCTCTTAAAGGGACACAGACACTGCTTTGTCATTCCTATCATTGCATCATCCACCTTACATTACCTCTTTACATAAGCTGTTTAGCTATTAATTATCCTGACATGTCAAGCTTGGGGACCCTGTTCTAACCCAAGCAAGCCCTCCAACAATACGCTCTCTCAGGAAAGAGCTTTCCCTGGAGCAGTGGCAGCGATCTTAGTAACACCGTGTTTTCCCCAAAATAAGACCTGGTCTTATTTTTATATTTTTATTTTTTGCCTCCAAAAGAGGCACCAGATCTTATTTTGGGGGTGGGGGGGTCTTTTCCACTCACCTCCAACACTGCCAGCCTCCCCCCCAGCTGGCCCCCTTCTTCCGCAGCCGAAGGAGCAGCTTAATTCTGCAGCTCCCGCCAGCATTTCGCACTCGGAGGCCTTTCTGGAAGGGCACTGGAGCTGATAACCGAGCTACAGATTGAATCCGTAGCTCGCTTCTTGGCTGCAGAGGCCTTCTGGAAAGGCCTCTGATGCCAAAATGCAGGCCGGGGGACGCCGACCAGAAGAAGTGGGCCGTTGAGGTGAGGCAGGTGTCAATTCACGGGAGGGCTAGTAAGCGGGTGTGGGGCACGTGGGGCAGTTCCACCCCCACGCCGCCCTAGCTTAGTTTCTAGGTGCGCGCCCTACCCCCAAACTAGGGCTTATTTTGGGGGTAGGGCTTATTTTAGGCCCACCCCCAAAAATCAAGCTAGGGCTTATTTCCGGGGTAGGCCTTACTTTCGGGGAAACACGGTATCATAGGCTGATAGTTCTTGAAAAATGAAGAACCTGGGTTGTAACTTAGTATACTCTTGAAAAACCAGTTAGGTTCACCGACTACATGAGGAATCCTCGAGTTATGTCAGTCCCATCGTAGTCATAACTCACAATGATCGTAAATTGGGTCCCTCACACGATCAACCCAATTTTGAAACCTTTTGGGGATCGGTCGTTAAGTGGTTCTCAGTGGGAAAGGTTTTTCTTAAAACTGGAAATCAATGCTCTTGTTTTGGGCAAAAACATTGTAAAACACAGTCACATGACCACAGGATGCTGCCAGGAGCCATTTGCCAGGTGTCTGCCAATGCTGCTAACATCGGATGTTTCTGCATTGACAACATTTTACCTTTTGCTTTTAGAGTTAGATGATGCTGGGAGGGGGGATGTGAACAAGAGTCCAGCTAGACCAGTGTTTCTCAACCTTGACAATTTTAAGGCATGTGGACTTCAACTCCCAGAATTCCACAGCCAGCAATGCTGGCTGTGGAATTCTGGGAGTTGAAGTCCACATGCCTTAAAATTGTCAAGGTTGAGAAACACTGAGCTAGACATAACAACACTAGACCTAGTGTGAGAATCAAGGTTATTGTAACCAGAGCTGATAAGGAATTGGCCAGGCTGGAGAACTGGAGAGGAAGCCCGTGTTTAAGCTAATTGGGGAATATGATTTATGACAGTTAATTGGAGGAGGGAATTGTGCGTTGATACTAGGTGCCCAGGGGAGGGGAATTCAGTTTTTGGCTTTGATTATGCAGTGCCGATGCTATGCTATTCAAAATAAAGATTCTTTAAGGTAAACATTGCCTCTGTCGGAACCATGACAGTACCTAAAGAGTGGACACATAACTGGTGTGTGAGTGTGTGTGTGTGAATCATCATAACTGTGAATCCAGGTCATAAGTATTCTCAGGGAGATCCATCATAACTTCATTCGGTTGCTAAGTGACCGTTTGTAAATCAAGGCTTTCCTGTATTTCAACTATGCTTTGTTGAGCAGGCCATTGTGGTCGGCTACCCTCAACTGCGTTCGAGCTAAAAAGGCAAAGTTTACAAACCACCACGCCAACTAAAATCGTGGAAAATCACATTATACCACGATGCAGGAAATCAGCCAGTCGCTGCTGCTGCTGCTTTCCACCAGGCTCTCTTGCAAGTCTTATTTGCTTAGTCTCTAGAAACCTCCTCAGGATGTTTGCTCCCATTTGGTTTGCTCTGCGCTCTAAAATCTGCATTTGTTTCTCTTAGCATTGCCACTTCTGTAGCAAGTCTTTCGGGTGTTTATATAGTTTTGTAGAGTGCTGTATTAAAGTTTTCTCAGAAAAACCACACGCTAAAGCCATCGTTTCTGCCTAGCCTCTGAATGGAGCAGTGTTTCTCAATCTTA